TCGGTCGCTGTGTGTCTAGGTGGCGCTCGGCCCGACGGGGCCCTGATTTCAGGTGTTACTGTAATAATAGTAGTCTAAGATTATTAACCTCTCTGGCAGCTGTTCCCTGCACGATGCAGACCAATAAGTGAATGTGCTGGTCTGTACCCGCATCAGAGGGGACCCCAGAGTCAAAGAGGGGGGCGTTGCTCTGATCTCACGTAGAGGTGAGAGGTCCAGCGAGCCTGGTGGTCTCCCCCATTTATGCTAAGGAGAGATTGTGCCTGTCTCCATCGCTTATCCTTGAAGGATACACCTGCAATCTTAGCTTATGCCCAGCAGAGCAAGGAGCAATGGTCTCAAGTTGCAGTGGGGGAGGTTAGGTTGGATATTAGGAAACACTATTTCACTAGGAGGGTGGTGAAGCACTGGAATGGGTTCCCTAGGGAGGTGGTGGAATCTCCATCCTTAGAGGTTTTTAAGGCCCGGCTTGACAAAGCCCTGCCTGGGATGATTTAGTTGGGGTTGGTCCTGCTTTGAGCAGGGGGTTGGACTAGATATCTCCTGAGGTCCCTTCCAACCCTGATATTCTATGAGCAGGTGATCCACCGTTATCTAGGACCAAGCCTCCTGCCTGAGCAAAGACCAGGTCTGCATAGCAGACTTCCTTCAGGCAGGGGCATGAAGAGCTGGGATCTGTGACTGACAGTAGTGCCGGCAAATGCCCCTAGCGTAGATGCAGCTATCCTGGCAAACCAGGAGCACTCTGCAGTGCTAGTGTAGCTATAGCTGGCGTGAGTTATGGTAGCACCGAGTGAGAGACAGTCCCTGCCCCACAGACCTCACAATCTAAGGAGGGGCTTATTTTCCCCATAGAGGCATGGGAAACTGAGGCACAGAAAGGGACTCCCCCAGGGTCACTCTGCAGAGCTGGGACTAGAACCCTGGTCTCCCATGTCCCAGGCCTGTACTCTATTCACTAGGCCATACTGCCTCCCACAGGGGTCACCCTAGTCTCTCCTCTTCTTCATCATCCCCTAGCCCTTGGCAACAGGCGCTTCCTCTGTCTGTGCGTCGGCTCCCTGGTGGGGGGAAGAGAACTGACCCTCTCTCTCCTCTTGTTCTTGTAGGACGCCTGGCCCTTCTCCAGAGGCAGCCGCTCAGAGACTGCCTGAAGTCAGCCGATCTGGAGCACAGCGCCCCCAGTAAAGATGGCAGCCCCGTTCGGCAATGAGGTGAAGTGCGTTAGCGTAGAGTGGGACTTCTTGCAAGGACTGTTGGTTAAGAATCAGCCGGTGCCCTGGTAAGATGCTGAAGAGGATGGATTCTTTGCACATATATAGCCCCTTCCACCTGCGTGTCTGAAAACACTGTACAGGTGTGGGTTAATAAAGCCAGACAACCCCCTGGAGATGGTGGTGTCCTTGAGGGAAACTGAGGCCCAATGAGAAGTAACTGTCCCAAGTAACTCTCTTCCCAGATCTGGACTAGAACCCAGGAGTCCTGGCTCCTATTCCCCTATTCTAACCACTAGTCCTCATTCTCATCCCAGCCTGGGAATAGAACCCAGGAGTCCCTGCTTTAACCACTAGACACCACTTCCCTCTGCCCCTGAACTGGGAATAGAACCCAGGAGTCCTGGCCTCCAGTCCCGCCTATTCTAACCACTAGACCCCACTCTCCTTCCAGAGCTGGGAATAGACCCCAGAGGTCCTGACCTCAAATCCTCCTTGCTCAACTCACTAAACGCTTTCCCCCTAAGTTGGCAATGGAACCCAGGAGTCCTGGTTTCTAGCCCCCTGCTGTACCCCCTCCTGCTGCACCCTTTGCTCTTCCAGCCCCTCCCCACGGTGAGGATTTTCCCAGGCCCGCTTGCTGACAGTCTCTCATCCTGGGGTAGCAGGGACCAGCCTCCAAACGTCTGGCACTGAACCGAACTGTCGCTCTGACGCTTTTAAGGGTCTCCCCCACCCACACCCCCCACCAAATCTCTGAAGGGAGAAACCCTGGGGCTGAAACATCCCACACAAATGCAGCCCCCTCCATTCGGCCACCGGCGGGGCTCCCAGCTGGAGGCTGAGCTGGCCAGCAGCCAAGCATAGAGAGTTTTCCCCGGTGTCCTTGGGGACCCGTCGCTGAGGGTTGTGTCCTCATGGGGAGAGGACCCAGAACGCTCCATGGTTATTAGCCGTTCCGTGAGCCTAGACTTGACGCTAGACAAACAAGTCCCAGCAGCTCCCGGGGCGACTCATGGCCAGAATTGCATATTCCGCCTCATGGGACTAACTGGAAATGTGCCAGCGAGTGTCCCACCCGCTCCTGGGATCCCTGGTCTGATGCCACCAGCCCCACAGTGGGAGCCCCTTCCATTTAGGGATCCCCCCAGCCAGGCCTGGCAACTGCAGCTGTGCTCATGTCTAGAGCGGAGGGAAAATTTTCCAACAGACTTTTCATGGAGAAATGCATCTCTCTGTGCTTCGAAACGATCCATGAATTCGGGGCGCCAATAGCTTCAGCGGAGGGAAAAAGGTGGTTTTATTGCAAAAAACTTTTGTTTTAAAATGCCGTTTCAAATTCAGATCGGCCTTTAATAAAACAAACACGCAGCCACAGAAGAGGGTGGAAAACACCCAAATCAAAACAAAAAACTAAAATCCCCCCAAACAAGCGTGAAAAACACCCAAATTAAAAAAAAAATCCTCAAACAAACAAACAAACAAAAATCACAGAAAAAGGTGGAAAACGCCTGAAAACAGCTGACTCAAAACACAATCCTTTCAAAGTGACCAAAAAGTTGTAATTGTTTTGAAATTTCTTTCAAGTTTTTAATTCAACGCCAAACATTTTTGGGGGAAAAAACCATGCATTTGTTTCGGTGGAATCAAACCAAATGTTTTAAAATTTTATTTTATTTTTCGATTTGGTGCCTGATCTGCAAAACCCATTATTTGCTCAGCTCTGCAGCGGGCTGGGTGGTGGCAGAGATACCCCTCGCCCTGCGGTGACTGTCAGCTTGGGGCTTAAAACTGCAGTGTAGACATTCCCACTCGGGCTGAGTCCAGATGCTGAGACCCGCCCTGTTTTCTGGGTTTCGGAGCCCAGGCTCCGGCTCATGCAGGAACATCTCCACTGCTGTTTGAAGCCCCGTAGTGTGAACCTGAGTCAGTTGGGGGCTTGGAGGCTCAGTGCCAGGGGCTTGTTTTTTTGCAGTATAGATGCATCCTTGGTGCTTCAGAGAATACGTTCCCTCTTTGGCTGTGGATGGAAGGGGGGCTTAGTGGGTAGGGCTTCAGGAGACCAAAGTTCAATTCACTGCCCCTTGAGCGGGTTGCTTAGGCTGCCCCAGGCCTCAGTTTCCCCATCTGTAAAAGGAGGATACCCTTAAAGGGAGGTTGGGAAATCCATGAATCTGAAGGCATTCAGTGCTGGGGGTACCAGATGCAAAATTGTGATTTAAAAGAAAAAAAAGTGAGGGATTTTATTTTTAATTTGTTTTGAGGGGCCGGGTTGTCGGGCCGGAGGTCTGGAGTCCATAGAGCAGACACAGTCTGGGAAGCAGCAGGACCAGCCCATGCTCGGACCCCCTTGCCACGGTGTCTTGTCCAGAGCCAGATGCAAGGGTGGACTTCTGCTCCGGTGCCTGGGTGCTAGCAAATGAGAATGAGGGGACTAGTGTTTGGGGTGCTGGGTCTCTGTTCTCCACTCCAGCGTCAGACCCTCTGAGCATCCCATGGGCCAATAAATTCCTCATTTATCCCTTCTGCGCTCCCCAGAGGCCCTGCCAATTTAGTATCCCTCTGCACACATCCTGGAAGGCAAATTCTCTTTCCCAGCCCGCCACGTTCTAGCTACTGAGCACCAAGAGGTCTGGGCCCTTCCGAAAAATCAGGAGAAAAAAATTCATCGTGGCTCCAACCACAACGGAAAACGTTCCAAAGCAGCGTTGCATTGGGGGGCCAGGCTGGGTGGCTGCACATTGGGTGGGGGTTGGGGGGCGAGGGCAGTGGCAGTGCCCTCTATGGTGGCTGCGGGGGGACCAGTGTTGCCTGGTTGAGTCGGGAAGATGGCGGGTGGGGAGCAGCCCCCTGACCCCCAACCCTCGCGCTCTCTAACCCCGGTCTGTGTGTGCTCCCCCTTCCCCCAGTCTGCAGGCCCTGCGGAAGGAGAAGTCCCGCAATGCCGCCCGCTCCCGGCGCGGCAAGGAGAACTTCGAGTTCTATGAGCTGGCCAAGATGCTGCCCCTGCCCGGCGCCATCACCAGCCAGCTGGACAAAGCCTCCATCGTCCGCCTCACCATCAGTTACCTCAAGATGCGCGACTTTGCCAACCACGGCGACCCCCCGTGGAGGCTGCGGGCCGAAGGGAGCCCCCCGCCTGGCCCTGCCGGCAAAGGTAAGAGCTGAAAGCTGCGGGGAAGCAGAAGGATTAGGGCTCCCCCCCACTGTGCCCACCTGCAAGAACCCCCCCCCCTTAGTGATGAATGCTGGGAAAAAAAAACCAATGGATCATGAAGCAAAGAGGGATTATACTCCATTTATACTGACCCCCATCACAGTGGTATCTGACCCACACTCAACTCCCCGTGGGGCAAGGCAGGGCTGTTGACCTAGGGTGACCAACCCTAAAGGTGTGAAAATCACAGGTCGGACCCCGAAACATCATGAGATTGGCTGGCCCCAAGCCCATGAGATGGTGAATATTATCTTTTAAAATACTAATGGGGGTTTCTTGCCTGTCGTCTGTTCAACCCCCCCCCCCCGCCGCCCTGCCCCCCGTGCACCGGCGACACTTACTAGTGCCAGGGCTCACACTTTTATTAAGCTGATTCTCAGGCCCTGCGGCAGAAGTTCTCCCCCGCGCCTCTGCCCCAGAGAGTTTATAAGCTAAACAGACAAGGCGGGCAAAGGCCAAGAGGGGAAAACAGAACCCCAAGTTTGCCCATGATCAGACAGCAAGTCCATGGTCGAGCCGGCAACAGAATCCAGATCTCAGTCCAGTCCCCTAGTCACTGGCTCCGAAATATTACCCTAGAAGAGTCACTTCATTAGCTGCTAGCAGCAGTAGACTCTTATCCTCTGTGTGGACCAGCCACAGCAAATTCGGCCAGCTCCTGGGGGTTCCTGATATGTGCCCAGTGAGGGCATTGTGACTCCTCCATCTCCTCCCACCCCCAGCTCTCCCTGCCCTTGTCTTATCGAAGGGGCATCGGCTGCTCCATTCCGACACATGTGCGCGCTCCCTCGCACCCAGAGCGCACAGAAAATAGCATTGATTAGCCACGCAATAAATCACCATTTAAATAATGCAGCTTCCAAGTGTGTAATTAAGCAAATTAACTGCCTCGGAAGAATACAGGCTTCCAGCGATTTCTGATTACTGTCATTACCCGCGGGGTAGTTATCAGGCAAATAACATGTGTTCCCTGAAATAGGGATAAACATCTGCCTATTGTTACAGGGGAGCTGGGGAGACCAGCCCCATTGCTGTCCATTCCTCCCCTCCACCCCCGGGACATTCACGCACAGACGGATTCCGACACACAGTTTGCCTCTCCTTTGGCGTGCGGAGCCAAGATCTGTTGGGAGAGGAATTATGATAATGATGCGCTTGGCAAGAGGATGCCGGGTGCCTGAGAACTCGATCTGCTTTTGATATCGTTGCAGCTGGGCCTTAGGGGGGGGAAAGAGGTGGTGTGATGGGGAGTGGGGCCTAGGGGTTGTGAGGGGGGATCTGGATTCCTGGCTTCCGTTTCTGGGAGAGGAGTGCGGTTTAGGGGTTAGAGCCAGGGGGTAGGGAGGAGTATGAGTCAGGATCGCTGGGAGAGGGGGTATGAGCAAGGGTTTAGAGAAGGGTGGGGGCCTGGGAACCAGGACTCCTGGGTTCTATTCTCAGGTCTGACACTGCGTGACCTTGGACAAGGTTACGCTAGCTATAAAATGAGGATCCTAACCTGCCTCTTTGCTTCCACCTGCAAAGCACGCCAGGTGCCAAGCTATAGCTGCAAAGTTTTCCTTGCAGGCTATCATTTTGGGGGTAGGCCTACATTTGCGTCCTTTCTTGCATCAAAAGTGCCCTGCCTGTTATGAGTGGACCTCCACCTTTGCAGTAGGAAATACCCTCGCACTTTCAAATATCCTGGTGAACATTGCTTTGAAAAAAACCAAACAAAATAATCCTGATTTCCTGACACTGTGTGAGCTGGGGAGCGGATCAGAGCGTTGTCATTATTCCTGATAGATATACCTGAGGCGCGGGGTCACACAGTGAGTCGGGGTTAGAACCCAGGAGTCCTGGCTCTGAGCAGCGCTTGTTCCATTAGAATACAGGTGACCTAGGGGTCGAATCATGCCGAGACGCTGTTCTGGTACCCGAACTTCCTTTTGTTAGGACTCGCACACTGATGTGGCTTCGTATAGTTGTAATACTTATACAGCACTTTTCATCCGTGGATTTCAAAGCCTTCTTCAAAGGAAGTCTTCTGGCTCATTCTCCCCATGTCTGGGGAAATTGAGGCACGCAGGCAGGAGACGACCACAGCTAGTTGGGAATCTTTCAACTAAAACGCTTTTTTGTTGGAAAATACCAGTTGGTCAAAAGGGGACATTTCCGCGGGAAATTTTTGACAGACTTTTCTACTTGAAAAATGTTTGGAGGGGAAAAAAATTTCACAATTGTTTCGTTTTGACATATTTTCAGAATGATTTTCTGATTTTTCTGGTTCTCTCGTTCATAACTAGTTTTTGTTCAGACAGCTCAGCAAATCAGAATACTTTTTTTTAATGCCTGAAATCAAAAGGAAACGTTTCAATTGATCCCAACTGAAATTTTTTTTTTTAATTATTTTTTTTCGGTTCGTGAAAATTTTGACTTTTTGTCCCGATTTGCCGTGGGAAAACATTTTGATATCTCGCCCCCAGCTCTGGAAGAGACTTTACGCTGGCAGAGATGGGAATAGACCCCATCCTGAGTCTCAGGCCAGTAACCCACCCACTAGGCAACACTGTCTTTAAAATGTCCCTTTACTGCTCTCAGTCCATCTCTGAGCCTGTACAGAGAGGGCAGGGGGTTCCTGCTTCTTCCTACCCCCCGTCAGCTGGGATAGGGGAGTTATTGCTGACCTCTTTGGGGGTTGCCATGACAGCATCACCTGGGCTCTTGTATGCCCAAAGATGAGGAGGGAAACTCGGCTGCCCTTAGTGGGACTAGGGGAGACGGCTGATAGAAATCATAGTTCTAGGTCATAGAATATCAGGGTTGGAAGGGACTTCAGGAAGTCATCTAGTCCAACCCCTTGCTCAAAGCAGGACCAATCCCCAAATGGACCCCTCAAGGATTAAACTCACAACCCTGGGTTTAGCAGGCCAATGCTCAAACCACTGAGCTATCCCTCCTCACAAAAGCATTTAGCTACCGAAGGGAGTCAGGCATGTAAATACCATGCAGGATCTGGGTCCTTGTCACCACTGGATGTAGCGATGTCTGTATGTTTGAGTGGGAGATCCACATGGGATATAACAGAACTCCACGTCCCTCCTCCTTCCTGGGCTCAATTTCCTTCCTCCTACAGGCACCGGATCATCTCTCAGGACCCTGGATTTGGCAATTGCTCTGGTCCTAAAGTAATGCAACCCCCTCCCCATTCTCAAATAAAGCTGTTGGCCTGCACCATTTCTAGTGCTAATTAGCATCTTTGACCCGGGGCCAATTTCCTAATCAATTGCATTAGTGAAATTAGCAGCATTTATGCTGACAGCAAAAGTCTTCCAGGCTTAACCAGGGAAAATATTAAGGTCACATTGATTAATAATCAGCAGTTTATTAAACATCTGCAGAGAGCCCAATTGCTCAAATTGCTCCTAATTTGACAGCAAAGGCAGTCTGATTTCCCTGAGTCATCCAGCCGCCCAAAGCGGAGTTGAATTCTCTAAAGAAAAAGCCAGCAAGATGCTGCCAGTTTTTGGGGTGGATCTCTGAGGTTTGAAAAGGGGCCCGCTGGCTCCAAGACCGATTTCTGTTGTTTTGATGGGGGCTGGGAGTCAGGGCTCTGGGGGTCTGTTCTGACATCTGGGAGGGGAGTGGGGTCTAGTGGGTTTACAACAGTCGGGGCCTGGGTGTCTGGACTGCAGGGTTCTGGTCTCAGATCTGCGGGAGGGTGGAGAGTTGTCCTTTGCTGTAACCACTAGATGAGGAGTCAGATTTCACGGGCTAAGATTTTCAGACCTGGCTAGAGATTTTGAGATGCTTTTAAAAGTGTGTGTGTGGGGGGCTGATTTTCAGAAAATGTTGATCACTTGCCCTCTGAAAATCAGCCCCTTCCAGTTACGCAGCTTGAGACCCCTTAAAAGCGAGGCCCCCAAAAGGAATAAAAAGTGAGGTTCAAGAAGTGAGGTTTTTTTTACCCACGAAAGCTTATGCCCAAATAAATCTGTTAGTCTTTAAGGTGCCACCGGACTCCTTGTTGTCTTTGTGGATACAGACTAACACGGCTACCCCCTGATACTTGCCAAAATGAATAGTCACTTTGGAAAACATTGGCCCCTGGGTAAAGCATGACTGGCTCTTGTGTGTGCATGCGCCGGTGCCCTCTGCTGGATGGGATCAGAACTGCTCACCTGTGTGTCATAGACCCCTATACTGATAACAGCTAGTGGCGATTCTCCTTTAGTTCAACTGGCGGGGTCTGGGCTTGTGAAGCCGTGAGATCTGAGTGCTAGTCCAGCCTTGATGTTCTGAGTGGTCACGTTGTACTTACCACGGTGACTTGCAGGTACTTGTAAAGCACCAGTGGTCTGCTGAAATGCAGCGATGCGGAGAGGTCTGTGTTGTACCGTTTAGTCTGAATAATTTATTTATTGAAAGTGGCTGGGGAGGCGGTAGGACAGAGATTGTGTCTGTCTACTTTAGCCCCCATCACCTCACCACAGCATCTGAGCATCTTGCGTTCTTTAACCTCACAGCGCCTCTGGGAGGCAGGGCAGAGCTATTATCTCAATGTACAGATGGGGAAACTGAGGCAACGAGCAGCATAGTGACTTACCCAAGGTCACACGGGCAATCTGTGGTGGAGCAGGGGATTGAACTCACCTCTCTCAAATCCTACAGTAGCACCCTAAAGACTGGGCAATCCTTCCTAGCCAGACCGTACTTGATCTCAGACGCTAAACTGACCTGAGCCTGGCTAGTACTTGGATGGGAGACCACTTGGGAATGCCAGGTGCTGTATACAGGCTTTCTTTCTGGACCATCCTTCCTCTTAACTGAGGACATTTGGCCTCTGTTAATGCAGTCTTGCTGTGGGCCTTAAAGGTAGGAAGAAGTGTGGCCTACTGAGAGGCTGGGGACTCAGGACACCTGGGTTCTGTTCCCAGTTCTGCCACTGGCCTGCAAGTCGC